TCTATAAAGATACCTCAGGGTTCTCGCAAATCGGAGGGAAACGAGAGTCTGAGAGATTTTATTCAGACTCATACGATGCTGGACACCCTGGGTTCTGCACACCATTTTGTGTTAGTGTATCCGCAATTTATAATGATCCATTGGCGGACTTGGAGTATGTCAGGTTTAGTTGAACTTACTATCATGGAGCTTAAGCAACGACGACTGGAGCTGACCGGGACGGAAATGAAAACTGCCAAAAACTCCATCTAAAATTCCAACGTGCACGAGCCAAGCAAACTCGTTTAAAATTTGCAGCATTTGCATATTACCCGGGCATATTACCACAGAGAAAAACCTAACCTCAAATCACTGTCTTGAATTAAAAAACCTAGGATTCAGTGTTTTGAAATACATTGATTACAAAATTACAAAAAATATTCATTTAGGAAAAAAATTACAAAAAAAAAAAGCTTGATTAATATACGGGGATGAAAACTGAGTTTGATAGGGAAGGAAACAAATTATGCATTATGCGTTAGAAAGTTAGTAATTACATTTTCCGTTGAAAGATTATTACATTTTGCGTCAAAAATATTATTACATATTTGGGGCCATTCTTAGTGCATCTTGAGTTAGTATTGCAATTTGCGGCGATTATTACATTTTGCGGTGTAATAGTGGTGCCCTGTAAGAAAGTCGGAGTAGTAACAAAACATGGTGTTACAGCTTCTGCTGGCGTAACCAGAACTGATTTGACCTTTGCTTCAAGCAGGAAAATAAAAAGCTAAAATTGCTGCACAATGAATACAGTTTGAAAAGGACAGAAAAGAGCTGTAATGTTATGTGCTGATTAAAAGTGGAATAAACAATGCACGTTTACATTTGCTTGGGCCCTTTTATTCCAGACTATCCATATTCTTGTCTTCTCTTACAAAGTCTTTACGCCTTTTTACACGGGATCTTGTGCGCAAGGAAAATATAATTTTGAACATATCAATGAAAGATGTTCACGACTTCGTAGAAAATTCCCTGACCTTGATTTTTTTTGTTTGCTTTACCTTGACAACTCCCTACCTGAGACTCAGTATATGTTGCTTTAAGCAATGAATGTTAGATTGTTAATATCATACATTTTGGTACAATATTTTCCCAATTAATAATAAAATTCTTGACATTATCATTGGCCGCTTTCACACTGATGTGAAAACGGAACGGTTACTTAAAATTGGGACTACCTTGACTGTCTGCCGTTATCCGTCAAGAAGGATAGTTAACCAGTCTCTTTTGTGAAAACGGCTATTACTTTTAAAGAAACAAAATCCAAATATACGTGAATTACCGGAAACCCAGCTTAATATACATGGGGCCTGATATGGTAAGTCGGGGCCTGATATGGTAGGTCGGGGCCCGGCTGGGGCCTGATATGGGGGGTGTAATATGGTATGGAACGTTCCAACCTTAGTGAGGACCTCCGACTACTGCGCGTGGAACGCAGGAATAATTCCATTCGTTCTTAGAGTTCATCAACGAGCCTTCCGGCACTTGATCTATCCCAACATTCTCCGATATCTGTCTCAACATGGCGTCGTTGGAGTAAGAACCGGTAACGTTCATTTCAAATTTCTGTATTTCACTGTTGTGTTTCTCTTTACAGTGCTTCTATAAGGCTGATCTCTCTTTCTTTTTGGCCAGTAACTTCATGTGTTCTTTTCCTCTAGTATACGCCCTCCTTGATGTTTCTCCCATATAAATGTCATTACACTCACCACATTTTATGTCATAAGTCACGCTCACACGGTCCTTTTCATCTTCTCTACACATTGGGCAATCCCCTCTTTCACATTTTCGTGATTTAAACGGATCAGATCTCTGATAAAATAAAATGCATACTCCAAAATCAGTTTGGATTGTCATTGACAAATACATAACAAAGCCATATTTTTAAAACAAACTTTCAGAAAGCATCTTCGATTTAGTGAATTGTCACTGAATTGTACATATTCATTTCTGTTTTATTCATTCTTTTACTTTTACTTCTTTTTCGGCGCCTCCTTGCTGCGTTCACCTCGTTAGGAAAAGTAGTGAACTACAACAGAAAGGTTATCTGCTAAAAATGATTCTGCTGAGTTGATTGTTTAGGGAGCTTTGAAACTAATTGTCTTCTCGTTGCGGTGCTAAATTGTTTCATCGATTGTGTTCGTGATCCAAAACGATCAGCACAGCTAATAACTGGCTGGGCTTATGGACAGAAAGTGCTGCGAAACACATGAAAGAACAATGTCTTTCCCTCGAATCCTCACTTAAACGTTCGCTGCCTTTCCAACTGATACTTAACTTTACAACTGACATGACAAGCAAATGAGTAACTTAAGCTTACATGCTGCGTTTCAGAAAATCACATGAGAGAAAATTTCAGTCTCTTATTTTAATTTATAACCTGAAAGCTTGTAAGCCCTGTAAGCCGCTTACACGAAAGCTTACGCTGAAAACCTGTCCGTAAATCGTGCCTGGTATACTCACAAATTGGGTGCTACGCGACGGGGACTGGGAACTGGTAAAACAGCGAAACAAACTTCCAAACTTCCAAACGAACTTCCCAACAAATCGAGTTCTCAGACGCTTTCAAGACAAAAATAGGTAGCAAGAGAAGGTAGCTACCGTGTGCGGGCCGTAATATCCTTAACAGCCCTACTGCCGGACCTCATTAAACAGATATCCGATTCTCAAACGATATAGCAAATGCTTATGATTCACTTCATAATTTCATCGATCGTAAAGCATTTTGCGAGGGTCTGAATGGGGTGTAGTGTTTAGTGTTATTTGCCCTTAATTTTTAGTGTTTGCTGTTAAATTGGCCAATTTTTTTAATGTTTACTGTTTCCGAAGAAAATACTTTTCGTAATAGTGTTTGGAGGGTTCTTCGGACATCTTCGGCAATGGTCGGACCTCTTCGTTAGTCTTCGGAAATCTTTGACACTCTTCGGGAATCGTCGGTAGCCTTCGGAAATCTTCTGAAATAATCCGGAATTGTCGTAAAATGGCCGAAAACTCCTTGATATACTAAACAAAATAATATTGGCCTTTTTAGAGCCGTTTTTGCTTCCTTCTGGAAAAAAATATACTGTTTTAAAGGATTTTTTGCTGTTAGTGTTAAAATGCCTAAAATTTAAGTGTTTCGTGTCACAAAGCCAATTGAAAAATGAATTGTTTAATGTTTTCGAGGTATACCCCCATTCAGATCCTCTTTTGCGAGTAGACGAATTAACTCTTAGTATTTACTCTCACAAACTAGTCATTGTTACATGATTTACATGAATTACTACTAAAGAACACACACCTTATAAGTACTTATAAGAGCCCAGAAGTAACTGATCAGAAGTGACTTAGGCCTAGGCCAACGTCAAACGTTTCATGAGATGACCAAACTTAGTGAGTTAAGTTCATGAAAAGTTCGACGTCTGGCTCAGCTACGTTCGTCTGAACGGGTTTGGATCGTCCAACACGTTCTATCCGCCTGCCTTAGACGGATAGAATTAACGTCTGAAGACAGGGGCACCCAACGACCGAATGTTTCAAAATACGTCAGAAGTGTCTCAGATGGTTTGCTCTATGCTTTAGAAGACTGTTTGGTTAATTTGGAGTTGCCCCAAAAACTTTTTATCTGTTCGGATGTCTTAAGGGAACTTTGGTCGTAAGTTAGTATTACGTGGCTTTTTCGTCTCATCCGAAAAAGTTCGCTACCCTTATGAGTCTGGTCGAAAGTTTGAGGGCATGAAGTAGCCTTGCTTTCATTAGAAAATTATAGGGAACGTTTTGTTTTCATACCGAAAGTTTTAGGAGACCTTTTTAAAATAATAATCGCAATATCTTGGTATTAAAATGTGAATAACACAACCTCCGAAAATCGTAGTTAAGCTATCAGAAAACCTCCGAATATTTGAGACGAATGGAATGGTTATCCAGACATTTTTAGCTATTCTCAAGCTTTAGAAATTTCCAGGCAACATTTGCTCCTTCGAACAGTTAAGAAAGAAAAAGTCGCTGGGTGCCCCCTGTGAAGATCGTCTCCGGGACAAATGTCGATCTCAACATGCGACGAACTGAACTAATACATTGAAAATTTGTATTATGTTTATTTAGCCTCGTCTGGGAGAACGTCTATTGCCAATCTGATTAATATGATTAGTTCGAAGCGTCCTAAGTTCGACTTGTGACCCAACAAACGATCTTAACTTAGATTAGGTGGACCCAAATTAGAGTTTGGTTCGTCTCATGAAAAGTTCGACGTTTGGTCTAGGCTTCAGTCTTTTAAAATTGTTTGTAATTTTTCAGTGTTATTCTACGATGAGGTGTGGTTTCTTAACATGCCTATTTCTCTCTGATCTTTGACTTGCTACGTAGTTTAAGAGACATTAGTAACCCCTTTCTAATATTTCATTCCTTTTATCTTTTTTATTTTATACTTGCGTTTCTTTTTTTGCGGGGTTTAAAGCCTTCAACCACCGTCCGTTGAAACTGCGAGATAATTCTTTTCAGGTCTCCTTTCTTTCTGGCGGCTCAACGGTATGGACGGTCAAGTCAGGTAAGAAAATTAATGAAATAATGAGCCAAACTGCGTAGTTTTTCCTTGTGTGTTCTGCCAGAAAAACAATAGCAACTCTTTGTGGGATGGCAGTAATCGGTGCTGCTTTCTAAATATCCGACAGTAGTGGGTTCGGGACTACGTTTTTATTGGAAATTCATCCTACGCATGATCATGAAAAAAATGCGCGTTAATTTAAGTCACGTTAAAGTAAACGTTAATTTCCGCGCCATTAATTTCATTATTTTGGCCTAAAATTCTCGATGCACTCAAGACATTCTTAACACCTTAGGAAAGACGAGTATTTTATCAGGGTGGGGATCCAACTGTGAAGAACCCTCCAAGTGGCCAGATTTCTTCGCTTAACCCCATTCGTACCTTTAGGGAAAGTACCACCAAGAAAGTTTTCATTTCGGATTATACGTTTATACCATTTTACAGCTTAAAGGGATCTGCAAGATACGAGAAGCAAGATGGAAGAACAGCTCTGTATTTAGACGGAAGTAGTGGGGCGTTCGCGGAGACCCCGTCTCTTCCCATCCATCGCACAAGCCTAACAATCGCCGTATGGATCAAAATGAAGAGCTCGGGTGCACAATATGTAGTTTATGGCGACTGGTCTTATCCTTGGTCATTTCGATTGTATATTGACCCGAGCGGTCACTTTCGTGCCCAGGCGAGAAATACAACTGGAAAAGATATTTTTAGGTTTTGTACAAGGTAGGTATCTTCACATTTTCTTAGTATTTTTATGAATGTCGATAGTCATTCGTCCCATGAAAGGGAATCCAAGACAGTCTTGGATTCTGGATTTCACGTCGTGAATTGCGGATACCAGGTACTGGATCCCAGTCTTTGTCAGTGAAACTTGCATTCTGGGTTTCATTCGTTACTGGGATTCCGGATTTTTTGAACTTTACTCCAGATTCCAGAGCCCAGGATTCCAGATTTCTCAAGCAAAATTTTCCCGCATTCCGGATTCCAAAAAGCAAAAATTTCTCGCATTTCGGAATCCGGATCCCTTACACTATGGGGCGAAGTCATCTCATCCATCTGGATGAATAGCTTATAAACAAGTGTAACTTTTGATCTGAAGTAAATTGACGTCGACAAACCGTCGTTGATTTTAATTTATTGGCCTCCCATACTTAATGAATATTTCAAACAAGTATGGATTTTTGAAAACGGCCAACGTAAACAACGAGTGGCATCGAACTTGTTCGTATTCATAACATCTCTCCAGGCTTTACTAATCACAGGCTAGTCTCCCACAAAGATGCCAATCTACAACCCGCTGGCCATGCGTACTCAACTCGTTCCATAGAGTACTCTTACACACAACAGACAGCCATTAGGGATTACTACAAGTATTTCTTCTACCCAAGGACAATTACAGAATGGAACAAACTCCCAAGGGATATAGCATTGTCCAATTCACTGGATGCTTTTAAAAATGCAATTTCAAACATTTAATGACACTTTTATTACTTTGCACTCATAAGCGCTATCTCTGTCACTTTTGTTTTCCTTTGTTTGTTTGTTTGTTTATTTTTTCTAGAGCTGTCTAAAATGCTCAATATTGAGTGAAAGACCTAAATAATCAATGATCAATAGGATCGAGGAGTATTCCACGATACGCAATGAGTATTCGAACATAGGGAAAAACGCTTTCCGGGATGAAAACAAGTTGATGTAAACTTCCATTTCGCTGACCTTGATATGACTGCTTTCATGAGAGTATTTTTTAGTGCGCGAGTGAACTTGATTCCATAGTTGTTGGAGTTCGTGAACTGTTCATTTAAGCAAGTAACCTAATCAGCTGGGGCGGAACCAGAACCTTCAGAAAAGGGCGGGGGGATAACTTGCCAGCTTTTTTATTCTATTCATTTTTCCGAGAATTGTTAAATTTGAGGAACAAAGTGAGGGGGGAGCAGGGGAGGCTGTCACCTCGAACCACCGCTAAATCCGCCCTTGCCACTAAAGCCTGGTTTTCATATGTCGGGAAAATCCCAGACGATGGGGAATTTTAATTATAGCCGACCATCCCAGATTTTGCCGATATATCGGATAATCGCCAGAAGTCTATACCAGATTCTCGAGAGAAGCCGTGTTTATTTGTGATAGCAATTTAGGGGATTGGTAATGAGCGAAATCCATCGCAGACGTTCCCGACGGTACAAATTTGAGTCTTCATTTGTCAGGAATGATCGACGACCATCGCAGAAATCTGTGACGCATCGGGAAAATAGAACGATCCCGATTCTCCAGATTTGTCCCCGTCCATCCCTGACGATCGGGAATATCTAAGATTTCGAGTTTTCATTAGTCGGCAAAATCTGGGACGGTCTGGAAACAGTAAAATCCCCGATCGTCTGGGATTTTCTCGACATAAGAAAACCAGGCTTAGAGTGTATTATGAATTCCGTTCTCGTATCATGAGGAAGAGAGTCATGAGGCCTCTTCAACTGGCATAAATTTTCATTACACTCTCAGCCTCAGCCTCAGCCTCATATAAAAATTGTTGAATAGGTAAACAAGTGTAACTTTTGATCTGAAGTAAATTGACGTCGATAAACCGTTGTTGATTTTAGTATATTGGCTTCCCATACTTAATGAATATTTCAAACAAGTATGGATTTAGACGGCCAACGTAAACAACAGCACGTTAAAGACCTTGAAGTTTAGTTTCGATAGAAGTAATGTTTTGTTGAAAAGTTCGCCATCTTGGATACGCCATTTTGATTTATTTAAATCATGTGACAAATCCACTCAGTCAAATAAATCGAGATGGAAAATGAGCTAAAAACGTTTATGCCACTCAACAATCCCCACTCATACATTGCAGAGACGCTGTTGTAGTTAACAAGTGGACTCACTTGGCAATGACTTGGGGACGTACACAAGGTACCGTGAGGCTTTTCATGAACGGAGAGATGAAAGTCAGTAAGAACGTAACAAGCAACTCGAAGGACTTCATGAATTCAGGCCATTCAGTGTTCGACATTGGCTTAAAGAGAGATACAGGAACCACAGCACATGCCTACTTCAGTGACCTCATGGTGTTTAGCCGCGAGCTGCGATTTTCACCCATTAAAAATGTGAATGAGATAAAAGAATATCTTGTTCTTAAACACCCACTGTCAAAAGATTCTGTGGGGACTGTGGGGGTCTCATAGGTACAAGAATTTTTTTATTCTTGGGACTTTAATCCCTTATAAACATTTCACTCAATTTAATACGAGCAACAATACTTGATTCAAGAAATAATGGATTAGTGAATAATTGAATTAATGAATTAAACGTTTCTATGGTTACTGCTCACGTGACTCTCTAGTAGCCAATTAAAAAATCACAAGAGATCATAATAGGCTCTAGAAAATCAATATACTTTGCAGAAATTGAATAGCTGGTCCGATTTGAATTATCACATTTTATTTTTGTGACGTCACAACAGATGATATCACAAAATAGATTTTTTGGTCATGCGCAGCACTAATCCAAACAATGAATAATTTGCTACAATGATTTAAGAGAAATACAATAGTGAAAGTCTCACCTCATAATATTCTATAGTTTAAGAGATATAGGCAACATGCCATGCATATTTTTAAAAAAAAATTAGACAATTTCTTGGCCGATTTACTGTCAAACTGAGAAAACCGTGAACACCTAACAAATTTCAGGAATGTTGATTGTGTACTGGCCAATCACAATAAAGTTCAGGACACGCGAGCAAACCTCAAAACCACAAACTAGTTACCGTTGCTTATTTCTGGCAACACAATAACATGCCATAAATATTTATGGTGTTCCCGGTTTTGTGAGTTTCACAGCGTGTATATTAAGTAACTTTGAAGCTTAGCGGACTCCATCGTATCAATAAACTGAATGGAAGGCAACGGCTGATTGTACCTAAAATAAACCTTCATTTTTTAAGGCAAGTCCTAAGAGTTTCGCTGGGCATAACAGCCGATCGATATACATTCAACATTATCATTGTAATTTATTCTCACTGGGACCATGCGCAAACAGATGCCTGCAATGCCAATAAGATATGGAAGACTCAGCCCGAGGTAGGAGGAGTCGGGAGCTCACGGTAGAGAGCTAGTTCATCGCTGCGGGGAGGTGGGTGGAGGAAGTAAAAAAGCGTACGAAACAGCGGCGGATTAAGACCGTGAGATAAGGATGGGGGAGGGGGGCGGTCCCCCCAATTTTTTCTTTCTGCCCTTCGGGCCCCTCCTCTGAATCCGCCACTGCCAAACACCGAAAAGCCTGAACACGCCATTGGAGTATGAGAGAAGTCTTGACAAGTTTCGCTTGACATGGATAAATCTTGTCAAATTCTTCCACATACACGAGCAACTCGTGCATCGGGGATTTACAGGGATTAGCCTGATGATTAGGGCTTAGATTTTTTGGTAAGTGTTTATAAAGAGCGCGAGGGGAACAACTCCTCTTCATTTCTCCCCTCGTGCGCCCGCGTGTCTTCGAAATTTCTGCTTTCGCTTCGCCCCCAAAACACCGGTGCCTGCTACGCAGGCTATACAGGGATTTACGTCCCCGACAGTTCTGCATCAATTATTTTGAGGTGCCTTAGATACACAAGATATACAGCAGCAAGCAGTGTACAAGAAAATGATATAAATAACAGTGTATTCCTAAAATATAAGTTAAACCACATTTTGATATGTCTAAGGCAGAGTACATAATCAGATAAGAGCTAAGAAATGAGATGATATCCTAGATATAATCATCGATCCTTGGTTAAGCAGGTTAGTTCTGACAACCCATTAGTACTGCTAACTAAAATTGACTACTACAAGTAACATAGTCCAGCAATTACGGCTGGAGAAGCACTTTCCCTGTAGTGTGCCTTCCCTCCAACATATCATGAGCCTTCTTCGCGTCAGCCAGAGGGACAACCGTGATTCCTCCGCTAAACTTAAGCTTTCCTTCGGCCAACCAAGAAAATAGCTCGTTAGCTCTCTGTTTGTATTCTGCGGGGTCCTCTACAAAGTGGAGAAAATGCCCAAAGGTCACGTAAGAGGAGCCCTTGGCTAACGTGCCGACGTTTAGTGGATCGGGAGGGCCCGAAGCTCCACCGTAAACAACCACTGTTCCTCTTCTCGCCAAGCAATCAAAGTCTGAATAAAACGAAATGCAAGGGTGACAGATTCAGTGATAGACGCTTATAAAGGGACTATTAAAGGATAGAACAGGGAAGTAGCGTTAGCCCCAGTTGTTCAAAAGATGGATAGTACTCTCCACTGGATAAATCGATATCCAGTGGATAAGTATTAGAGGAAACCAATTGCGCTATCTGCAGGCCCCAGTTGTTCAAAAGGTGAATAACACTATCCACTGGATAAATATCTATCCAATGAATAGCGCTGTGCAATTGGTTTTGCTAATACTTGGAGAGCGCTATCCAACGTTTGAACAACCCAGGCCTGATGGATAATGATTTATCCGGTGGATAGCGCTATCCACCTCTTGAAAAACTGGAAGAGATGATCTTAATTTAAGTCTGGATAAAAATGAATGTGAGGGCGACAGATTCAGTGACAGACCTTCCAAGGGCCCAGACTATTAAAGTATGGAACAGAGAATTAAGGCTGAAGCGTAACTTGTAACGCTAGAGATGATCTCAACGTCTGAAGTGTATCTTGTAGCGCCAGAGATGATCTCAATTTAAGTCTGGACAAAAATGAATGCAAGGAGGACAGATTCAGTGACAGACCTAATAAAGACCCGAACTATTAAAGGACGAAATAGAGAATTAACGCTGAAGTGTTACTTGTAGCGCCAGATAATAATAATAATAATAATAATAATAATAATAATAATAATAATAATAATAATAATGATAATGATAATAATGCAATTTATCAGCGCTTATGCATCGCTGTTCTAAGATACGACCTCAATTAAAGTCTGGATGAAAATGAATGCAAGGGGAGAGATTCAGTGATAGACCTAATAAAGACGCGAACTTTTAAAGGATGAAATAGAGAATTAACGCTGAAGTGTAACTTGTAGCGCCAGAGATGACCTCAATTTAAGTCTGGATGAAAATGAATACAATGGGGACAGATTCAGTGATACACCTAATAAAGACCCGAACTACTAAAGGATGAAATAGATAATTAACGCTGAAGTGTAACTTGTAGCGCCAGAGATGACCCCAATTTTAGTCTGGATGAAAATTAATGCAAGGGGGACAGATTCAGTAATAGACCTAATAAAGACCAGAACTACTAAAGGATGAAATAGATAATTAACGCTGAAGTGTAACTTGTAGCGCGCGAGATGATCTCAACGTCTGAATTAAAAGAAATGCAAGGGCCACAGCCGGTGTGGAGCACAGCCGTGGGATTCATTGATAGACCTTAATATATAGATTTAGCCAGGGCTAAAAGCGAAGCTCTCGTTAACATACTTATAGCAAAGAACAACTTTAAACCTGCAGCACTCTTTTTTTGGACGTTCCTTTGCCGTTTTATGCACGACTTTAACGTGAAACTTCCTAGTGACACGTTTTACGGAGGAAAAGTCGTATGTGTTCCAGTTAACTTTTTATTTTCACTGCCACTCGTTTTCGCCACTTGTGTTTGTTTGTCAAACCATCCTCATATGGATGGCATAATTGACAGTAAAGTGCAAGTGGTAAATGTGACATTTGACATCGGCTAACATGTAGGGGCCGACAGAAGTACGGACGGACGTACGAACGGTCACGTGATTATCCATAAGTTACCTTTTTCTCTTACCCATGGTGCTCTACTGGGAGCGCTTCGCGCGTGAGAGCTCCGCTTTAAAGGGACTATAAAAGGATGGAATAGAGAATTTTAACGCTGAAAATTTAACTTGTAGCGCTAAAGATTATCTCTAATCCCCACTTTTCGTTAGCTCTCAAAACGAGAATCAGGAAACTACGCAAGGGACAGAAAAAAAATTATTTGACATCGGTGGGTATCGAACCCTGGACTTCCGTTGCTCTAACGACTGAGCCAAGAAGGCCAGATGGAAGCACTAAAGAAGAGGGAGCACCTTCGAAAAGTCTGGTTTTTCTCCTTTTTCAACGCGTATTTTGAAAAATTTTGACATTCACACGATTAATTGGGTTGAAAAGTTTCTTCTAATTTTTTTTTTAGCACTTGCAAAAGCTCGCCACTTTTAAAAAGTGCCTTGGTTCTGCCTCGGGCTAAAAAGGTTTTTGTTAAACGCCAAAAAGTATAATGGAAAAGTCAACACGGCCATCAGTCAATGTCAAATGCGACTCGGGCGCGGACAGAATGTCGACTTTCAAGCTGCTTCGACCTGCCTGTACCCAGGAAGCTCCGCTTGTAGCTGGCTAAGTAGTTTGGCGACTTCTTCGGAGAAGCGCATGCGCGGATAAGATCTCGTGAATTTACTCTTTTCGGAAAATTTTTTAGGCATTTTTAGTACAGGCAAACATTTTTTTCAGTCTTGGATTCTGGATTCCACAGAGTGGATTCCGGATTCCTTGTCACTGGAACCTGGATTCTGGAATCTGGATTCCGGATTACCTTCCATGTTTGGGGAGAGGAATTGCACTTGAGAAAATCAAGACAATTTTATCTTACTCTTAAGAAATGTTGTTTTTCCGACACCGTCATAGATTGCATTCACCCCTTTTCCATCAGTTATCCTGTTGACCTCTTCAACAAAATCCTTCTGAGAGTAAAGGATAACTTCATCAGCCCCAGAATCTTTTGCCTTTGCTGCTTTGACCTCTGTACTGGTTGTTCCAATCACAAAGGCTCCTGAAAAAAATTTATTCAAGGATATTGACTACATTCCAGCAACAAACTTTCAAACTATGCTATCACTATTTCTAGAAGGTACAAAAACGTAACTGTTTCCTGGTTCACCATTCTGGATTAATAACGCCTCAACAATACATTGTCTTCAATATATAGTAAGTTCCAACTTTCCCAGCATTCCGCCTAACTATGTAGAGTAATGAGGTGACACTAGGATAGGGAGAGATTTTTGGGAGTTTAGTCTAGTATATATACGGTAGCAAAATTCAGCTGAAATACGACTGGTATTTGCTAAGGGTCCTGGGGTCCTAGCAGCGAAACCCTACCCAAACATTCCTAAAGTATTCCCTGGAGGGTTATACCTTTAGTAATTTATTTTAGTTACCTGCATTCTTTGCAATCTGAACAATCAGACTCCCCACTCCTCCAGCAGCTGCATGAACTAGAATTTTGTCCCCAGCTTTGATTGGATAAGATGAACAAGCAAATGCATGTGCCGTAAATCCTTGCCACAGTGTGCTGGCAGCCTGCTCCATGGACAGAGAATCAGAAACTTTGACAGCATATTTGGTGGCCACTTTACTGAACTGAGCATAAGCATCTGTAATGCAAATTTAAGTGTTTACTCAGGATGCAGTGAACTAGCTTATAATAGACTACTTCAGCTTGTATGTTTTCTTTTCCCAATACAGGTCATGTGATAATACTCCAGGGCCCAGTTGTTCTAATTTTAATCCACGGACTTTTGTCGATTCATGCAAAAAACAACAATGCGTTGCAAAACAGTGTATTTTAATCGTTTTGGGGTTAAATTTAACCTGGGTTTTTTTCATGTGGTCAAAAGCCGTCGCTTTTTATGTGCATAAGGTAAAAAGTTTTTAAAAACTCCAGGGCGTTAACCATTTTGTTCGGGTTTCTTTTTCATGTGGTTTCTTTTTCATGTGGTCAAATCGATCAAAAGCACTTTTGCAGATAATTTTCTGTGCTATTTTTGGAGCTTCCAGTCATCAACTTGTAGACAAAAAGAACTAAACTGAAATGCTTTCTAAGCTTTCAAATCTGAATTTAAATCTCGCACTAACCCTGGGTTATCTTAACCCAGCTTTGAACAGCCCTGAAGACTGTTTCTTTCAAATTTTGTCTTATTAAAGTGCATCTCCCCATAATTCATGAAAAGACAAAGGGTCAGGTTCTCCCAGGACCTCTAATTAGGAAAACAAAACATACAAGCCAAAGAGGTCATTCATATGACTGTTATGTCACAGTGATATGTGTTCCCCCTCCTTCGTGAAATCTGTTTCCCCAACTAGAGAAACACATATCCCTAGTGATAAGCATTCCCCTACCCAGGAAACACATATCTCTAGCTAAGGATATGTGTTTCCCGATACGTGTTTGCTGGAAAGGGGAACATATATTACTAGTTATATGCGTTTCCCGGGTAGGGGAACACATACAACTGGGGATATGTATTTCCCTGGAAAGGGAACATATATCACTAGTGATATCTGTTTCCAGGGAGGGAAACATATATGATTAGGGATATCTGTTTCCTAGGAGGGGGAACATATAACACTATAAGTGATATGTGTTCCAGGGCAGGGGAACACATATCACTAGTGATACCTGTTCCTGGGTAGGTGGACACATATCACTAGTGATATGTGTTGCATTACTAGGGAAACAGATATCATTATGTGTTTCCCGGGTAGGGAAACACACATCACTAGTGATATGCATTTCCTGGGTAGGGGGAACACATGTCACTAGAGATATGTTTTTCCCAGGTAGAGGAGCACATATCACTAGGGATATGTTTTCTTCTAGGTAGGGGAACACATATCACTTGTGATACTTGTTTCCGGGGTAGGGGAACACATATCACTAGTGATATCTGTTTCCAGGGTAGGGAAACACATATCACTAGGGATATGAGTTTCTCCGGAAGGGGAACACATATTATTACTTATATGTGTTTTCCAGCGGCAAGGATTCAACGATTCTACACCTACTTGGATGGGATGTTTGGAATAACAGCTGGATGTGATTTTCCACTCAAATGCAATCCAGTTCATGCCATGTCTAAAAGCGATATTATTACAACAAAAACAACTCACTTGAGCCAACAAAAGCAAAAGCAACTCTGTCTCCAAGAGAGGAGTCTTGGACTTCAGCTCCAAGTTTTTCCACTGTTCCAGCTCCTTCAAATCCCATAATTCCACCTAATGCTACCATTTTCATGATTCCCTTCCTCACAGCAGTGTCAATGAAATTTAACCCAGCAAAATGATTTTTTACCAGTACCTATTATTCCAATAAAAATAAAACAAATGAGTTAATATGATTCAAAGTAAGTGCCTTTTGCAGACCTCTCAACCCCAAAAGACCAATAACCTGGAGATCAAGGTAAAAAAAGCTGGAGATTTATTGATGGCATCAAAAAGAACTAAAACCAGGAGTAGGGAACACATAAAAACAAAAATGAATCGCTAAGAATGCGTTAAACAGAATATGAACCTTCCCATTCTGTTTTGAACTTTATCTTTGCTCAATGGTCGCTCGATGAATATTTATCATTTTCCGCCATTTTGACAATGTGGACAAAATCTATCTACATGTGACAAACTGGTAACAATAGCCTTATTTGGCATTATAGTCTTTTACATAATTATGGTTTTGAGGTCTGTATCTTGTCAACAAGGCAATCATAAATATGACAAATATGTCTTAGAACTGTGGATTTTACAAGGCAAAAATGAAAATAGTCAAGGAGAGTGTATTCCATTGGCTAGTTGTGAATCTGTTTGCCGTGAATTTTTTGGGCCTCATCGTTAGACTGTGAGATTGTCCTCAAAACCGTGAGACTTGAGAGGTCTGATTTTGATTTAAGTTCCTTCCAAATAAATGTAGATCTCCATCAAGACTTGCTTAATTTTTAGCCAATATTTCTATTAAACAATAACCTCCCAGTACTGCAATCAGTGCGGTTTTTATGACATTTAAACATGTTACCAAGCATTCCTTGAGCTGCACCCCACATACTCCTTATAACTTTGGTGGTTATTAGTGATGGTGCAATAATTAGTAGCCTGTGAGTAGGCTCACTTGTGTGAGTTCAGAAAAAATTCTTGGCGTTAGAGCTGCCATCCTGTGAGGAGAATGAACCTTAGCTCTGCCACCAAAAATTTTTGCTAAACTTGCACAAGTGTACCTGCTTCTAGGCTAGTACAATGGTACAATTTTGCACCCTATGAGCAACTGAAACCCTCCAACTAAGAATGACATAAGGCGATGGATGATGTGTGAGTGGCTGGGTGAGTCACTAACATGCAAAAGAATTTGGTGCATTTATAAAAATGGGTAACCATTTTTTTCATGGTAGAGGTCCTCTAAAAGGGCAAGGGAGGGTCAAAATATGTCACCAGTCCGGATCTGGGGCTGGATCAAGCCTTCCCCCTCCACTCCCCCCCCCAAAAAAAAGTAAAAAAAATAAGCAGCAGGTCATTTGTGAGGTTCATAACTTGGGTCATGAGGAGTTTTTGATATGTGAAATACGAAGCTCTGTTTTGTCAGTTAAGAGACGTGAACAACATACCGAGATTTCTAAATGCAGAATGTCGTTTTTTTTTTTTTTTTTGGAGGGAGGGAACCGACCAAAAAAAAAAAAGCTTAATGGCGAGACCTTAAAAACAATACATGAGCTTGATTAATTGTTTTTACGTACTTCTCCTGGCCCAGGCTCGGGGATCGGCACATCTTCATAAGAAAGCTTAGAAGAATCCCCATACTCCTGAACAACAACGGCTTTCATCGACATATTAGCAAACAAGGACAAACGAACCCTTGCAAGATGTTTTCCAAGGAGTGAAAACCGCTTTGCACAAATCCACATCTGATGTTAGAATCAAACTGGATTCGCTGCGGGGTAATACATCGCGTGACATTTTCGGCGCAATGCATGACCAGCGGCGATTACCAACCCACAATAAACTAGTCATGACTTGTGTCAGGAAACTTGCGAGTGTTCAAAATATGAAAGGCTTTGACAACACACTCAGTTCCTAGCTTGGGCTTTTGTTCGTCGCTCGATCATGGCTCATCCTGCATGTGGAAAGAAGCTTACTGAACGCCTAAATTTTGGTAAAGCAATCGATGGAATACCTAAAGATTTGGAGCAGTTTGTACATGACACGACAAGAAAGTAAGCTAAGCACGGCTGTGGTACAGTAGTTTGTACAAATTACTTGAATTTAGTGTAGCATTAAAAGCTACTGAAGGGTGACGAATTAATCGACGCAACATATGTATTTTCAAAATATGTTGATTTTTTCAGCCTTTGAAAACAGTTTCAATGGTTGTATCCTTCTTGTAGGGCACTGCAACTTGAAGAACATAAACAAAAGACCAGACAAACTATTCCCTTTTAGTAAAATCCAACTAGTGGTCTATTATCAATGCTGCGTTCTGATTGGTTGAGCTACTACTAGGCTATATGTTATAGCCTACTAGTAGGAAAAAGCACGGGCTTAAAGGATTAAAGTCCAGCTTTAATTAGCTAAATTTTTTTATTCTTGATATTTTTGACCAATTAGTTGGATTTTACTAAATTATTAAATTATTCCTCATGGCCTCTGAGTCAATAGCCCATGAGGCCAACATATTTGGTATTTTATTATCACCAACAGTTAATTCAATTAGCACTGCATCTATGGGACATAAACAAATTACGGACCTGGTTAATGGACCACATCTGTGGACCTGGTCAATGGACCACATCTGTGGACCTAGTCCATGGACCTCTTCATGGATCCGGTCCATAGACTACCCTGTGGACCACCCCCAGTTTTTGAAGATGAATTTTACCAGAGAGGTCTTAACAAATTTTAGGAACCTTAAATGGACATTATGCTGTGGTCAGGTTATGGGATCCTTATATTTTACACTTTTTTTTATACAACAACCCTTTATTTCATATTTACATACAAAGGAAAAATTCCAAAAATTGTAGAAAACTAGAAAAAAAGTAGCAAAATTAAAGTTTACACAAAAGCTTCAAAAAAAGGAAAAAACAAACAAACAAACAAAGAGACAGACAACTTAAACGGGAGAGTTAAAGTATCTACAGAGTGCCGCCTACAGTTCACTTCCACAGAACAGTACATTTGTTTAAAGAGGGGAGGTTTTTAATCAAGACCATTTCTTTTTAAAAGTGTCTAAAGAATTATGTAAAATCCTCTATATTAATTCATGATATTATGTTATGGTTGGGAATTCACTCTTCTTGAAAGCAGTGGTAGATTCAGTGATATGAACAGCAGATGCTATGTTAATATTGTTTATGTGTGTAATAAACAGATGTCTACTCTTATTTCACAGACGTGAAGGAGTTGTGGAGTCTTTGAAGAACATTGATGGCTCTAGTGAAACAGTTGTAAATACATTGAAGGAATATCTTGCCATGAACACCACAATGAAAAGCATTTTGCAAAAGGTAACTTCGTCTTTACACTCATCTAATATGTACCATTAATTGCTGGGAATCATATTCCACTATTTAAATTTAAATTACCCGTCATTATTTTTTTTCTGCAAAAGGTCAGAAGCTATTCCAGACTAAGGTTAGTCCATGATGTTTTTCAGTACATATTACAAAACTTTTAAATGAGTAATTATTTAAACACTGATCATGACTACATTTAATTTTCAAGGATACAAACAGTGTAACAATTGTTACACTGTTTGTACTACATGCCAGCTGTTATGGTAAGTGCTCAAACTCAGGGTGTTCATTTATTTTAATAGGTATAGGAGATTGGAGAATTCTCCGTTTACTATGCAGAATTCTCCGACTAATGTTCGGTAGCCTCTGACTATTTTTTATTCAGACGTAGAGCCCCTTTCAAAATATTCTCCTGTAACATTACACCTTTCTCCTGCTACTAGAATTCTTAATGAAAACCTCATGAGAATTAATGATGTAATTCACGGAAACACTGAAATGTGATTCGACCAATTTGCAATAATGACAGATTTTGGTATATTTATTTCACCATCCCTTTGTTAATTTTTGCATGGAGAGGCAGATTTATTTTACTTTCTGGAGCTGATATTGTATGTTTGGTTTAATATCTGATATTTTATTGGATTGACCAGGGTGACTAGAAGCTTATTTTGTCTATTTTGTGGCAGGTTCAAATGGTCTAACATGATGGATGATGATGAGAAAACTGCCACAAATGATATTGATGAAGATATGGTATCGATGATGTTTGCAGCAGGGTTGTGGCACATGGAGCATGCTCACTGGGTAAAATTTTTTATTTTTATTTTTATTTTTTTTTTAAGCAAGAGACAATTATTGTGATTTGTTTCAAAATTATGACTTGTGTCAAATTTTTGTAAATATACAATGTATGCTATGGCCCAGGAGGCGCGCACTCCCTTATATAAGCCATGTAGTATGTGCAGCCCCAAAGGGTATGGTCTTTGGGCCTTTTTGGTCTGAAAACAGGTACATACATTTTGCCTGTTTTGGTCTGGAATGGGGTAAGGCAACTACGGGAGCATATAAACGTATTTATCATTTTAATTCCAAGTGAATAAGAAAGAAATAGAAATATACAAATTTGAAATGCATTTGAAGAAGTTTTTGCTCCAGTCTAAGTAACTATGTCATAATGTCTGCCTTAAGGCCAGATCTGAAAACGGGTATGGCTTTTAGGGGCCAGGTCTGAAAACAGGTGGTGAAGATGACATTTTTTGGTCTGAAATAGGGTCAGGATTTGGAGATCCGGGCAGCACGCCCCCACCAAAAATTCCCAGGAGTAAACCCCCCCCCCCGTGCTACGATCACATCTGCATGTTATATATATATCATCAACTTATAAGGGGATATTATGATTTAAATACACAGCTTAACAAGAACATTACTAGTGAAGACGAGGATGAAAATAAAATGAAGGTGAGTATCTTTGAATCTGAATCTAAGTTATTCTCAGTCTTAAAACTGTCTCCATGATAAGAATTTTACCATGAAGCTTTTCATATTTTTCTTCAATATTTCCTTTGTTATTGTCTTAACAATATTCTAATAATCAATATTTTGATTTTAGCAAAGCTTAAATTCTTTGAAGACTGCAGCTGGCATTATTGAGACAGCAAAGGCTTGGGAAGGTTTGATTAAAGGAGGCAAAGATATAAATGGTTGGTTTGATTTTCATACATACTATCTGGGTTTGAGCTAGGATTTGATCACTGGGGGACAATTTGTCCCCTTGGCTAAAATTTTGGGGGACATTTTCATTTTTAGGGGGACAGAAATTTGTACACCCTTCTGCTGATCCAAAGGGGTTTGTCTTCTTAGCAGGACTTCTGATAGGTCTCGGAGAAAAAAGTCAAATTTCGCGGGATTTTTAGGGACAAATTCGCGGAAAAATTGGCTGATTTCGCGCGAGTTTTCGGGGCAAACTTCACCGAAAAGCAATCAGTAAAAAAACCGACGATTTTGTGGTTATTTTCAAGGCAAATTTCGCTAGAAATCGATCGGTTTTGCGCTGATCCGACCAGCCTTTTTAACGTTTTTCTAACAGAGGTCATCATTTGCTCTTTCAACAACAATACGCTCCAGAAATGAACCAGTGGCAAAGCCTTTAACATCATGGCTAGTGCCCAGTTTTTCGCAACATAATCTGTTTGCACGTTTAAAGATAAATTTGCAAGTTTACGGCAAGTAAATAGCCCCTATAGCTGAAATAAGTTTCAAATATGTTGTACAGACATGTATTTGATAAGATTTCTACCGAATTTCGCGGCTCCGCGACCACGCGAAGAATTAGAAGCCCTGTCTTAGATTTCCGACAAAAATAGCAGTAGAACGTGACTGAAGCGTAACTTTGGAATGAACTTTAAAGGTGCGATAAAATATACTTTCCACGTTCTGTTTCAGCTTGCAATTTTTGTACTAAAATAAATCTCTTCGTGTGTGCTTCCTTTCGAGTTTTTTCCCTAAATTTTGAAGGGGACAAATTGTCCCCTTGGCCGTTTTTTAAAGGGACAATTCCAATTGCAGTGCGGGATTGGCGCAATGGCGCGGCCTGGCTCAAACCCTGTACTATACGTAGGTAGTAATAAGTAAAGTAGCAAACTTTACACTTATGGCCCTTTTCCCATGCACTTTACAATATTATTTGGATGTGCTGTCACATGATTTTGGGGCCATTTGAGAATATGCATGATATTACATGGTTTAATGTAAAAACTTATGTGAGAAAATATAGGCTAAATTTGTGCCACAGAGGAATATAACCAATTCTTGATTTCTTACCCATAAAAAATTAGGAACTGGCATGTCAACCACAAAAAGCTTAAAGGAGCCACAATCCCCTGCCCCAGGTGACAAAGTTGCAGCCAAATGTTTTTAGAGTTGATAAAACATCTTGACTGTCAGTGTTTTTTACCATTATTAAAATTGGCTTTAAAATATCCTCCTCAAGACATGTCTATACTTCAGTAATCATTCAGTTTTTTTTCCTGTAGCTTAACACTCAGTCTTATGTCTTCAAATTTAGGACTTGCAGTAAATTTTAGTAGAATTCTTTACATATTTTTCTTTAAAAATTAACAATGTACTTTTAATTTTATGAGAGGTAGCTCTACTAAGGCCCCTATAATAGTGCACAATTCTCTTGTGCATGAAATGAAATGCAGCTGATTTAACTTACAAAAGTAAAGTTTTTAGTTCTGATTCACGTAGAATGCATGTTGAACTTTTCTCAATGATTCCAGTGAGTAATGCCCTACTTTAATTACCACAAACCATTAATACTTTGACTTTATTAATTTGCTGCAGCTTCAGTTTTGAATGCTTTGTGTCAGCAGTCCATTGCAGAGGCACAGGTTAGAATGGTTTTATATATAACTCTACTTTTTAAAATTTACTAGATAACATTTTCTTTGGACCGTGGACATACAGTAACACAAAGACAGCTGCATGGCAACTCGGGTACTTTGGTGGTGCAGAGGTTAAACAAATACTCTAAGATTTTACATTCTACATGTAAAGACTAAACATAGCCAAATTACTGACTCTAAAGGATAGCAGTAATCAAAGGGGAAGTGCTGATCATCTTCCTGTGACCACCTAAATGGGGAGGCTCAGTGCCCTGAAGGGATACCTTTTACAGGCTTCACTTGTTGAAGTATATGATGAAAGGGTAGAGCTGTTTCGGTGGGTAAAAAGGCTTGAAAGGGCTAAAAGATGCATTTTATGGCTGTGAGAAAATCGAAAAAACTTTCTTGTTTTTTGGTTTATTCATTTTTTAAAGACAGTACATTCACAGCAGTTGAGAGGGATACAAAGTTCCAAACTAAGTAGGTGAAAGGTGTGGCATTTGTCATCAGATTTAGGTACATGTATACGAAAAGGGTACCTTTTCTGCCAAAAATGGTATATAAAAGGGTAACTCAGTGGTTGGACCTCGGGGCAGAGCTTCCCTGTATAAAACTTTGTTGCGGTGGGGCCGGAATATACAAATGTACATGTACAAGAACGCCACTTGAAGTATATCCTGCTGAGCAGGTGGCAAAATATTGTAAAGAAATTCCATGTAGAGGTTACAAGAATGTTATGAGCTCGAAAGTCCATATTTTGAATTTCGCTTTCATATGACTTGGAGATCTCAGATGTCAGGGTGTTATCAGGGTCAGTCTTTGATTTTGTTGGATAACACCCTTCTCAGTGTCTTTGATTTTCATATCATACACAGCCCTATTCAATAACTGTTAATTTTTTTATTTTGATATTGCAGAGTGTGACCATAAGAAGAGCTATAAGTAAGAATCACAAGGCTTCACTGATCAGTGAACTTTGCCATGATGTATCACAGAAGTTCACCAAGGCCGCTGGGGAGGTGGATGTAAGTCTAATATTACTTTGAGCTCCCTGGCAAGCAGCACACTAATCTTTGGGTGCCCTGTGGCTCCTTGGGTGTTCTGTTTCTATTCAGGCATTGTGATGTGGATTAATGTTTGTCAGGGTGATTTTTAACAATTTATTATGTCCAGCTGTGTCATCATAACTTAATTTAAAATCATAACACTCTTTTTGTTCCTTCTAATTGTGCTAAATTTTGGACGTTGTTTACCCCCAAG